CCCCAAAACCCCAAAACCCCAAAACCCCGAACCTGATTAAAAGTGCAAGCAGTAGATAATTACCAGAAAAGGAAAGTGATGAGAAAAGAATTCTTAGTTTATAAATTAAATTTAGATATATCTTTAATGATAAGCCCAGACTTCAAGGTCACTGAGTACCCCAACTTCCTCAGCTGCTACCAAACCTTCATTGTTTCGAACCATGGTACAATCATTGATAAGTCTGATTAAATTATTACAGGTGATTCCTTATGGAAGGATTTAGAACCAGAGTTTTAGAGACTTAACGTGATGAGAAAAGAGTTAACTCAAGTAATGCAGTTCAGATCAGATCCTGATCAGCTTAAAAAGTTTAAGGATCTCTTCCTTGAGTAAGCATTTATCCTGATTCATTCATACTTAATACTCTGTATGCAGGAACTACAAGGTTTAGACTCTATTCCAAAAGTACTTCACCTACGGAAGTCAGAAGAACCAGGTCAATATAACTCATGTGTGGTTTGATTCCTTTACCAAGCAGAAGAAAATGTCGATGTCCCCCACCTTCGACGCCATTAACTCTCTCTATAACTATGCAGTTGCTTGCTCCAGAATCGTAAATTAGTTTAAATCTCAATAATGATTAATAGGCTTGCTACATGGATCTATCAGGTGAAGGTATCAAGGAAGCCAGCAAGTTATTTTAATAGGCTGGTTGGACTTTCGAGCATTTGAGATCATTAGTAACCAATTTATAACCCTCAGAGGTCTCCACTGATCTCACAGCTGAGAGCTTAGGCATGTTGAGTAATCTTATGCTCGCCCAAGCTCAGTACTTGTTCTACAAAAAAGCTATGGACGCCTAGATGAGAGCTACCGTGCTAAGTAAGGTCGCAATGCAAGTCGCAGACTATTTTAAAAAGGCTCACGAACTTAGTCAGACTAATTAGGGACTAAAATCTTATGATTCCTCTAAGTTTGCTAACATTCAACTCTATCACTCAATTTACTTTAAAGCAATGGCATATATGGTGATTGCTCAAGAATCGTATAAGAAGGTGGAAGAGACTGCTTCAGGTATGGGACTTGCAGTCTCTTATTTCAAGGGTTCAGTAGCCATTATGGAGCAAGCTAAATAAGTTGTCCTATCAGTCCCCTCAAACTATTAAGATAATTACAATAAAAAGCTTGAAGACATCAAGAAATTCCTTGAGAAAGCTAACAAGGAAAACAAGAGTATTTATTTCGAGAGAGAGACTGCTTTTGAACAGTTACCTAAGCTTGACAGCTAGAACTTTGTTAAACTTGAACCAGCCCTTGATAACATACTTGAGAAAATTCCAATTGAAGATAAACTTAGACATATTGTTCCTCCTGAGGTTAGAGCAATGCAAAATGAAGTGAAAAACTAACTCTAAGAGATCCTCAATCAACAATATGAATTGGAGAACAAATCAGATGCTGATTTGAGAAGTTTCCTTCAAAATTATGGACTGCCATAGACTCTTCATGCAGTCACAGCCACCACAGAAATTCCAAATCAAGTTTGGGAGAAGATTGAAGATTTCCAAAAGAAAGGAGGACTACCAAACGTTAAAGCTATGATTCAAGGTATCGCAGCAATGAGATCAAATAATTAATAGATTATGCAACAAATGATGCAGACCATTGAAGAAGAGGAGAAGATTGATAATGCAATGAGACAGCAATACACTCAAAAATGGAACAGACTCCCTTCTAATGCTTTAAATGGACAATTTAAGCATCAAGTATCTGATCTCACTAGCAAAGCTTTAGTTGCTGGAGAGACTGACAACAAATTAGAAACTAAATTCAATTAGTAAGGAGATCAATTGAATTTATTATCAAAGACAAAGAACGAGTTATCTGCTATGATTCCATAATCCTAAAATCAAAAAGAAATTTCTTAAAATCCAGTTATTCTTGCAATCAAGAATGCACTTGACGAGTTTGATAGAATTAAGGAAGCTAAGTCAAAGATTTATGAAGAGGCTGTGCAAAAGTGCCAAAATTTCAATGCTATTGAGCAACTGTTAACAGTACACATGGGCCTAGCAGAAAAAGGCATTGTCTATGAAAAGCTGAGACAAGAATTTAGACAAATCTTCTTGCAAGTCGAGCCATTTGAAAAGTAAATGCAAGAGACTAAGTCAGTCATCCAAACTAACAGTGGACCTTTCAACTAACTTCTGCAAAGCACTAGTAACGATCAATCAAAGCAACAATTTTATGCTTCAATTGATACCTCCTTGAATTACTACAATGAAATCACTAATATGCTTCACCAAGCCAATCAATTCTACACTCAGTTGGGAGACTACTTGAACAAGCTTTATCAGAACATAATGGACTTCAAGATGAGCAGAGAACTTGAGAAAAATGATATTGTTTAGAAACTAGGTGGGTTCTAGTAACCACCTCCAGGCATGCAACAATAACCACCTATCTATGGCTACTAAATGGGAGGTATGCAAGGCCAAATGCCCCCAGGAGGAATGCAAGGTCAAATGCCCCCAGGTGGAATGCCAGGTCAGCAGTAGTTCTAGCAAATGCCAGGCTAATAAATGCCATATCAGTAATAGTAGTTTGGTCAGTACAACCCTTAGTAATAACAACAATAGCCACCCCCTAACTATCAATACTACGATCCAAACAAGCCACCTCAATGAACAGAAGTAATCAAATATATAATCTTATCTTTATTATTATTTCATAAGAGTGGTCGTATTATAATCATTTTGTAATGGAAGCACGGGGTTTTGGGGTTTTGGGGGTGGCTATTG